TTCACGTGAGACTTAAAAGTTCTGAATTCAGCTTTTGAGGCAAGTCTATGTCTCGCGTTACGTGCAGTTAAAATTCCAATTAATTAACCTTGCAATCAACCTGAGCAGAAAATCGCAATTTTACAGATTGTGCACTGTCCATGTTCGAGCTTGTAAGCGAAAAATGAGCTTTTATTTACATATGCGCGTGTCAAAATGTCCGAACTGGAATGTTTCTGTCACCCTTTTCTCTTGGTAATTAAACAACCAAGAAGGTAGCAGTTTTACGAAAGTATTGATGTATCTTCTGCGTCATTAAAAGCGTAAAATCAATTTTAACAAAAGCATGGCTGCACCGTATACACTGCTACTGAATCGAACGTCATGCTCCACTAGTTCTAGTAAAGATCTTCAGGCGAAGTGGTTTCTTCTTCCTCGTGTTCATCAGAGACGCTCACTCGCCTTTCCACCCTCATGGTGAAAATGGCTGGCGATTTCCTCAACAATGCTAATTTTTCTGGTGTATCAGTGGAAATGCAAATGCACTTAGGTGAAACAATGTTACTGGAGAATGTTCTTCATTTTTTGCCACTGTTAACTGGGTTGCGAAAGAGACCGGCTGTCCGCACTCCAGAAGCTGCCTGTCGAAAGTATTCTGGCCTGACCAATGTCCTTCATGCTGTTGCTACTTCTGCTGCAATTGGGCACTCTCTGCACTCCGCTGTATGGTGCAGAAGTCGTCTCCACGGTGCGCATTCGCCTTACCAATAAAGCTCTGCAGTTTTTCAGCAGAATTGGACATCGCATCGTAAGTTTTCTTTTAGCCTGCTGCGAACCAGTATTCTCTTCACGATTAAATCCTTTTTTTAAGTCCGTTTGAATCCTTTTAAATCCTTATGCGTTCTTGCGCGTATGCAAATGCAAAATTGTATTATATATTGTGACGACTCATGGTGCGCTTGTTTGTTTATGTACGTGTGTGTATGTGTTTGAATCCAGCAACCAAGCAGGCTTTGGCGTTAAAATTTTAGTGGCTGATCAAGTGCCACTTCAGGACCGCTGTGCCAAACTTCAAGCATGTTCGACCCTCGCGTGCGAACACGTGAAGTTTTTGGCGGGGAAGTTGCTAACTCGGAAACCCGAAGACCTGGAAAGCTGAAATTTCAAGATATTCCTCGCCCACGTACAAATTAAACATTTAAAATTCACCCTCCAAATGTGAATGGTTCTCACGTATAGGCATGTGAAAGTTTTGGCAGCCCGGTGACAGGGAAGGCTAGAAAGCTGAAATTTTAAAGGGATGCCCACCTTCAAGATTTCAGATTTAGTCCCCGAGTATGCATGGTTCTCACGTACGGACACTTAAAATTTTTGGCGAGAAAATGCTTATTGAACAGCCTGATCATTATTCATTTTCTTTTATGTAAAATGTACTTGGTTTACGCTTATGAGTACATAAACTAAGTACAGGCAACAACCATCCACTCAATTAACGACTTTGATTGCCTTAATTTTAATGCAAAAAAGTGTGTTCGCACCGACAAACCTGGTACATTCCAGCTTAGGCCATTTAAGTCTGCATTTGAATCCATTTTGAATCCTTTTTTTCGTGATTTGTATGACTCAAGAGTGACGGCATTCACCACGTGTCTGGCGTAACTCTACGGTGAATTGTGTCACGCGCACTACGAATGAATACACGAAGGTTGCAGTTGGATTTCGTCTTATCAGTTTGATAAGATAAGCGTACTTAAGCTTCGCAATTCAATTCCCGAGTTTATCTAGAATCAACTTTGTGAATAGATTAAGGAATAGTGAGATCCAATAGTTCAAACCATCCATTATGAAGCTTTTTCCACACTCGTGCCGTGATATTAACCCAGTCGGACCTGAAATTCATTTGTCTGCAAACGAGCCCGTATGCCTGCAATTTGACAAATTGCTATTACTGTTATCATTGTGATAAAATGACAGTTTCAGGCTGATTACGAAATTCGGAAATTAACATTTCCTGCCATATCGCTTCCAATTGAGGGTGGACCGGGTACAGGCAGGTTTAATGCGACTGAGGTCAACATACGAGCATTCGAATCTCCCAAATTTTCATTCAGTTTTGCGCCACCAAACGGGATTTCATGGAATTCAAGCGGCGGATCTACAAAAATTTTTGGCAAATGGAATGTTCATTACGAACTTATCATACCGGTCAGTTCTTTACCGAAAGTACATTGCATATTGGTTAGTATACGCTGCGGTTGTGGTTTGATGATAACGATCATGATGATGATTTATGCTGATAAACAT